TCTTCTCTCATTTTTTTTTTTTCAAACTCAGTGGCATGTATTTATAAAGTATGTGTGTACTGCAGGTTTGCTAACTGCGTACAGCGCCACCCTGTGGATGGGCCTGAATGATTTAGATCTCAATGGAGGCTGGCAGTGGGCTGACTCCGCCCCTCTCAAATATCTAAACTGGGAAACAGGTGAGGCCACACCCCTTACAGCCCCACCCTCCTATAACCACACCCACTTGGACATTGAATCAGTATACTGTAGCTGACTGTATATTTTTTTCTTACATATAAAACACTATTTTACATTAAGACTTTTTCAAATTTTTTCTGCTGTCAGTGTTCTTAGAGCTCATTTGCATTAGGAAGGATGTATTTTTATCTGATTTGTGTCACGGATGTGTGTGTTGTAGAAATGCCAAGCTATGATGAGGAGGAAAACTGTGGAGTGATCAGCACCGATGCTCAGGGTCGCTGGCACAACCGGGACTGTTCAGTGGCTCTGCCTTACATTTGCAAGAAACGACCCAATGCCACACTCGACCCCTTCACCACAGGTATGTGTGCAGTGTGTGTATGCACATTTGCGGTCTGTGGTTCACATATAAATGTACAGAGCAATGTTACCACTGCTTGCACTTATTCTTTAAATGATTAAATATGACTTGATTTATTTCAGGGGTAAACTTTGTCTGGCCCAGCCATGCAATTTGAGTATCTTGCCCCAAAACTGCATGTTTTTCCTGCATGCTGAGAAGTTTTTAGTTTGGATTCTGCTGATCTACCTGAAAGTCTGCTTTGGTCTTGAGGATCTCACCTGTGTCTGTGTGTGAAACAGACTCCTGGGCAGATGACAGGCGGTACCAGTGTAATGTAGGCTGGCAAAACTTCCAGGTGGGCTGCTATAGGCTGAACTCAGACAACCTGGACTGGAGCTCTGCCCACAAAATGTGTCAGAAGATGGAGGCTAACCTTGTTAGCATCCACACCCTCCCAGAGCTTGAATTCATCACTAAGCATATGAAGAAAGGTATACACATGCAAATGTCCATTCATAAATATACAGAAACACATTTGCTTTATCAGTATTTTTGTCTTTCTGGTAAAAAAAAAAAAAGAAACAGTTTTTTCTTTCTCGAGCATAACCCTCACTAAATTTTGTTTATTTTAAAATAATACATAAAATAATCATAATAATATAAAAGTAATTTGCCAATGGGGTAAAAGTAAACTTAATTCAATATATATTCTCTGGCAACAGGTCTTAATATTTTATACAATTTGGCACAAGCTTCATGATGTTTCAGACTCTCTATTTTCCTGTGTCTTAGATATAGAGGAGTTATGGATTGGTCTACATGATACAGCTATGCAGATGAACTTTGAATGGACAGATCACACTCCAGTCATATTCACTTACTGGCATCCATTTGAACCCAACAATTTCCGAAATGTTAATGAGGATTGTGTCACCATCTGGGGGCCTGTGAGTATATACGCATATAAATATATAGGCCTATCAAAAGTTTGGGCTCAGTACGTTTTTTTTAATAGCACTTTCTTCAGTAAGCCACACAATCATTAATTTACATGTATGCATTTAGCATACACTTTTATTCAAAGCAAAGAACTAAAGAGGTACAAAAGCAATTTATGGATCCAAACATATTCTTAATGTACAATGCCAGGTTTATTTGACAACTAGATTAGGAAACAAGCTATAGAAGAGGAGAAATGCAAAAATAACTTAAAAAAAAAAAAGATTAACATATTTATTCACAATAAATTGATCAAAAATGATAGTAAAATATTTATCATTTTAAAAATTTTCTGTTTTTCTGATTCTGTTCTTTTTGAACTTTCTATTCAGCAAAGAATCCTGAAATGAATGTATCACAGTTTCAACAAAAACTTTCCGCAACACGTTTTCAACATTGATAATAATAAGAAATGTTTCTTGAGCATCAAATCATCACATTAGAATGATTTCTGAAAGATCGTGTGACACTGAAGGCCGGAGAAATGACTGCTGAAAATTTAGCTTTGGAATAAATACATTTTAAAAATATATTAAAATAGAAAACAGTTGTGTTAAATTGTAATAATATTATACAGTATTACTGTTTCATTAAATAAACACAGATAAGCATAAGTGACATAAGCATACCCGAACCCCAAACTTTTTAAATGGTAGTGTAGAACAAGCTTAATTGCCAAAAAGAAAAATATATATAGTGTGCAAAAAATATGAAAATACATTTGATAAAAATTAGTGCTGTCAAAATTAGCACGTTTACATTTTTTCAGTTTAACACATTGAAAATATTTAACACAATTAACGCAGGCGTGGAGCTAGGGCTGGCCACCCCACTCACAACTGCTGCTTCTGTCACTTTTTCGAAGTGCATTAAGTGCATTTATTCAGTCGCAGAACGACTGAGAACGGGAGACGTTTCAGACGCGCACTCCCAGCGCCAGGCAACGATACTGTGCTCGCAGCGTGTGCTCTTCAACTGCACGCACAAATGCGCCGCCGCGTGCTGTAGCCTGTATCATTTCATATCAAAACGCGAAATAAACAATGTGCATGCGACGTCGTGGTCAGTTAAGTCATGGAGTTACCAAAAAGGCGATTAAAGCTGTCTTAAAACTGTGCATGCATTATATGAGTTATGAGTCACATTTAAGAACATGTCTCTGAAATGGTTTTCAAAACTGTCCTGGAGCAGCCGTCTCACTCAACTCGTCAGCTCGTGTTTATTTTAGCACTTCAGTCAGTGAATACGCAGCCTGCAAAACAGTAAAATAAATATCAAAGAAATAATACAGTTAAACAAGAAAGTAGCCTAAATAAGAAAGTTAAATACCCTGTCTACAGGACGCGAGCTGCTCGGCGTGGCGCGACAAAATACTATAAAACTCATTATAATCAGTGATGCTACACTGGATGCGGCACGACACGACATGACAAATCCCCGACAGTAAACTGCCTCATTCTATTTTTGAGGTACTGACACCGAGTTCAAATGTCCTGTGTAGACACTAGACAGACTCAACCTGTTGTGACACGGCGGTGTCGCGTCCGGTGTAGACACAGTTCACTGTTCCGCTACTGTTATTGCTGTTATTACACTTGTATACAAAACTTCGTATTATGCTTGTTATAGAGTGCATGACGTCACGTGCACTACCGCCGGTGGCAGTAGACAACCACGGTGACGCAATTGTCACGGCGACTGTCACAGCCATACCGATCGGACCATTTTTGGTGGTTGCCACCAGCTGAACAATTCTTTACATGGTCCTTCGAGCCAGATTGGGCAACTTCTGAATTAATATAATGTCCATACATAGTGAGGAGATTAGTGATGCAACAGTTCGCTCCCGACGCCGAACGCAGATGCCAAGGTACCTTGATGACTATGAGGTTGATTATGTGCCAGAGCAGCGATCAGTACACACACCTTTAGACCACTCCAACGTAGGAGAACAGCTAATAGGGGCTACAGGAGGTCCATATCTACCTCACAACACCCTAGTTGCTGGCATTGATCACTTTCCTGCCTATGAGGGGAATCCACACTTCTCACCTGAAGCACTGAAGATGCGCCTCAAGGATCTGGAGAAAGAGAACCGTCAACTCAGACGCGACCTCAGTGAACACTCTGCAGCTCACACTCCAAGATCATTGTCTCCATCTCAACTATTTCATTCGACTAGACATTTGACGGCCAATATAGAGAATCGAATATCTACCTCACCGTCACACCACAGAGTAACGTCAACAAGAGATCAAAGAGATCCACGTTATGAAGGAGAAAGGTCAGTGAAAATCAGAGGATAAGTTGCACGCAGAACGTCAACGTGATAGAATAGATGAGATCATTCATGAGCTTCAGAGGATGAAAGCGAGTTCCAAGCAATCCAGATCAACTTCGCCATCGCCAGAGCGTGCAGTAACACCCCTAGACTCTGCCTTGCCTCAGGTAATTTACCCTGCATCTGAGCTGCTCAGCCGCAAGCGCTGGAGACACAGCCAGATATTGGCAGACCAGTTCTGGAGCTGTTATCTGCGTAACTACCTGCCCGGACTCCAGTCTCGCCAGAAATGGCAACAAGAGAAAGACAACCTGACAGTAGGGACAGTGGTTATGATTGCTGATCCACAATTCCCCAGAGCACTCTGGCCCATTGGGACTGTGAAAGCTGTCCAGGCCGGAGCTGATAATAAAGTAAGAGCTGCAGAAATCCAGGTCAAAAACAGAACCTACATCAGACCTGTTGTCAGACTTATTAAGCTCCTTTCACTCCCTGAATGACTGTGAGTACTGGCCCAAGATGCAAATCTGCAAGCACATTTGGGGGCGGCTGTACTAAACTGAGGGCCAGTTATTTAATGTTCATACAGTTCTTTGTATATGTGTAATGGTTAATTCGTTGTTGTTATTTAGTCAGGCGACAGTCACACGCCTATTGTTAGGACCCAGAAGGTGCAAAGGACCCGGATGCTGACGCAGTTCAGTACAGTTAGTATCGCCATTATTATTACTAGCGCGAGACGATCCTAACGGTGATGATAATGCCAGTTCTCCCGCAATATTGAGTAATCGCATGTGTGCGTGCATCAAAGAGTAAGTTTGTTGCTTCATTATACTGTGTTTACATTTGATTGTGAATTAGTCTTTTAAGACGTGCTTATCGCATCTGCCGAGCACATGTGTCTGTAAGCTAATCTCTAGCCAATCTTATACGATCGCTGCAAAGACATATTTTCAGTGTTAATGTCATAACAAGTGCGGATATTATTCATTTGCATATTGATGTTTTATCAGCGTGTATATTTATACTTTACTGTTGTTTCTCTTTCTAGAACCACACTTAATTAAAATGTTCAAGTTTGCAATGAGTGGTCTATGAGTGCATCTAGCATCTAGCTCCTCCTAAACGGACATCACTTAAGTTAATTGTTCTGATCGGACAATTTTTGGCACCGGGTATGTGGATTATGTGCCAGAGCAGCGATCAGTACACACACCCTCAGACCCCTCCAACGTAGGAGAACAGCTAATAGGGGCTACAGGAGGTCCATTACTGCCTCACAACACCCTGGTTGCTGGCATTGATCACTTTCCTGCCTATGAGGGGAATCCACACTTCTCACCTGAAGCACTGCAGATTCGCCTCAAGGATCTGGAGAAAGAGAACCGTCAACTCAGACGTGACCTCAGTGAACACTCTGTAGCTCACACTCCAAGATCATTGTCTCCATCTCAACTATTTCATTCGACTAGACATTTGACGGCCAATATAGAGAATCGAATATCTACCTCACCGTCACACCACAGAGTAACGTCAACAAGAGATCAAAGAGATCCACGTTATGAAGGAGAAAGGTCAGTGAAACTCAGTGAGGATAAGTTGCACGCAAGAACGTCAACGTGATAGAATAGATGAGATCATTCATGAGCTTCAGAGGATGAAAGCGAGTTCCAAGCAATCCAGATCAACTTCGCCATCGCCAGAGCGTGCAGTAACACCCTAGAGGGCTGATCATGCTGATGAACGCTACCATCACCCAAGGCATCCATCCTCACACTATTACAGCCCTACCTCCAAGCGACAGAGACCATTTGTGCCTTATCGTTTCTCATCGCCATCCAGTCAAGAGAGCACTTATCGTGGTCCAACCCCTACCATTCCTAACTTCACCAAAGAGGATCCATGTGAGTTCGCCAGGTTAAAGGTGGCTCTTGACAATCTCCTGCCTGCTGACGCTACAGAGCGCTTTAAGTTCCAAATATTGATGGACCACTTGAAGTTTGAGGAAGCATTGCTCATTGCTGACTCCTACAGTAACAGCAGGTACCCTTACACTCATACCATGCAGGCCCTAACAGAAGTCTATGGGCAACACCATCAACTTGCACTTCAATGCATTGCTGTTCTGATGGATGGACCCAGCATAAGAAGTGGTGACACCAGAACATTCAGGCTTTTTGCACTGAAAGTGCGGGCCCTGGTTGGAATGCTGGATCAGTTAGGAAGTCCTGGATGTACAGAACTGACTTGTGGGTCTCACGTCTCCCGTCTCCTAGCTAAACTACCTCACGATCTCCGAGCAAACTTTAAGAGGTATGTCAATCCACTCAAGACACCTATCCCTACCTTGCTTGAATTTGCAGAATGGCTGGAGTATGAGGTGAGGGTGCAAGAGGACTGTACCCAGTTCAGTATTGACCCTGGTAGAGAGAGACAGAGCTTCCGCAAAGACCAGCAAAGAGTGCCTAAAGGATCACACAAATCTACTGCCATCTTCCATGGAAGTGAGCAAAGTCCAGTTTCCAAGGCTGAATCGGTTTGCCGGAATACAGTTTCTGAGGTGAGATCAGTAGAGAAATCAAATAAATACTGTCCCTTCTGTAATACAACTCAGCACTATCTCAATCAGTGTTCAAACTTCAAGCTGCTGACCAAAGAGCAGATCGTTACATGGATCAGATCCAATCAGAGATGCTGGAAATGTGGGCGTGATCACCAAGCAGGTCAGTGTACTCTTAAGGCGAAATGCAAGAAGTGTCAAAGGAGACATCTAGAAATTCTGCATGAGGCCAACAATGAAATGAGTGCTAATGCTACCAAAGAAACAGGAGAGATCACCCAGTCTACCAGCACCACAATAGAAACTCTGTATGTCGATCGACCATCTGGCAGCAGTAGAGTGTTACTGAAATTGTGCAGAGTCATCATACGCAGCGGAGACTTTACACTGGATACATATGCACTGTTAGATGATGGTTCAAAGCGCACAATACTTCTCCATGAGGCAGCTCAGCTACTCAACCTCCACGGTAAGCCAGAAGACCTGTCTCTTCGCACAGTGCACCAAGACATCTGCATTATCCATGACTCCACACTATCATTCTCAGTGAGTCCTGCTACACAACCAGATCGCAACTTTGCAATCAAAAGAGCCTTCACAGCTGAGGAGCTTGGACTAGCACCTCATTCCTACCCAATTGAAACGCTCCAAAAAAGATATCGCCATCTCAGAGGCCTACCTTTTCAGTCAATTGACCATGCGAGGCCATTACTGCTCATTGGGTCAGATTACTCACAACTGATCATCCCCGTTGAGCCAGTTCGGTTGGGACCCCCAGGAGGTCCAGCAGCTGTGAAAACTCGTTTGGGATGGACACTCCCAAGGTCCATCAAAGTTCCTTGAACACATCCCACACACACAACAGTGCTTGTTCACATCTGCAAGCCTTGCACCTAATGATCTATTCAGTCAAGTTGAGCAGTTGTGGCAGATGGACATCTTGCCCTACCAAAATGAACGGCTTGCGACAAGGTCAAAGCAAGATGCAGACGCTATGTGCATGCTGGAGGAGAAAACAATGAGGGTTGAAGTTGAAGGTGTGCAAAGATACGCTACCCCCCCCTCCTGTGGAAAACTAGTCCTCCACCTCTAGCTGCTCCAAAGGAAGCAGTACTGCCTCATTTGCGAAGGATTGAAAATCAGCTGGCACAGAGCTTTGAGAAATCCCAAGTGTACAAGTCTGAGATGAACAAGCTGCTAGAATCAGGCTATGTGAAGAACATTCCTAAATCCACAGCTGTACAGACTCCAGGATGGTACATTCCACACCACATGGTCCACCACAACGGAAAGTACAGGATTGTATTCAATTGTTCTTTCAACTTCCAAGGGCTGAGCTTGAATGAATATCTTCTTCCTGGGCCAACTCTGGGTGCGACCTTACTGGGAGTATATTCTCGTTCACCGTTCCTGGTGGAATGATCTTCCCCCCCCTATCTGGAATGCTGAATCCCTGACAATTTTCAAGCGACACTTTTTCTTTCTCTTTACTTATTCCTTCCCTTTTCTAGCTTGTACTTATTTGAACAATGCCTAAAACTTGGTATTTCAAACACTTCCTGTGTCTGTTTGCCTCTTTAAGAAGAATCGCTTTATGTATTCCCCAATTGTAAGTCGTTTGGATAAAAGCGTCGGCAAAATGACTAAATGTAAATGAGAGTATGCAGTAGCCATTAGCAGCGACATAAGGGGGATGTTTCATCAGGTGCGTCTCCTACCAGAAGACCAAGCATTCTTGCGATTCCTGTGGCGAGACCTTAAACCAATCAACGCACCTGATGTCTACCAGTGGTCAGTGTTACCATTTGGCACCACGTGCAGCCCGTGCTGTGCAACATTTGTTCTTCGGAAACATGTTGCTGATTACAGCCAACCAGACAGTGAGGTACGAGTATCAGTAGATTGTTGTTTCTATGTGAACAACTGGTTGCAAAGTGTTCCCTCTCTTGAGACTGCCAGACAATTAGTGGATGATATGCGACATCTGCTGGCCGAGGGTGGATTTGAACTGCGCCAATGGGCTAGTAACACTCCCCAACTGCTGCAAAACCTGCCACAGCAAATCAGGTCAGAGAACCATGAGCTTTGGTTTAGTTCAGACAGGGCCGACCCCCAGGAGCGCACACTAGGACTCAGGTGACAGTGCAGATCCGACACCCTTGGTTATAAACATGGCCATGTCGTAAAAACTGAGCCCACTATGCGACACATATATAGCATCCTTTCCAGTCAGTACGATCCATTGGGATTCATCACCCCATTTACCACTAGAGCTAAGATCATAGTCCAGAGGCTCTGGGACAAAAAAAGAGAATGGGATGACCCTGAACTGCCCACAGACCTCAGAAATGCATGGCTCACATGGGAAGACGAGCTTCCACAACTTTCCTGTGTCACACTACCCAGATGCTACACTACAAAGGTAGATCCCTTGATCAGCTCAAGAAGTGTGCACACATTCTGTGATGCCTCAGAGCGAGCGTATGGTGCTGTAGCCTATCTCCGCACTGAAGATAGCAAAGGACAAATAGAGGTGTCATTCTTGGCAGCTAGATCACGAGTAGCTCCAAAGAAGCAGCAAACAATCCCCCGACTCGAGCTATGCGCTGCTCTAACTGGAGCACAATTGGCAGTAGTTCTGCAAAGAGAGCTCACACTAGATATCAGCAGTTTCAGATACTGGACTGATTCTACAACCGTTCTCAACTGGCTTCAATCAGAGTCATGCCATTTTAAAGTGTTTGTAGGAGCTAGAGTTGCGGAGATTCAAGAGCTAACTGATTCACATTTATGGTCCTACGTGCACTCAGACAACCCTGCTGACGATATTACTCATGGCATGTCACTGGCTCAGCTAGCCGAACCTACCCGCTGGAAGAATGGCCCAGAATTTCTGCAGAAACCTCCATCGTCTTGGCCCAAACTGCCCAACCTAGTGTC